ACAACACGAGGGGGCCGACGCCGAGGACGCGGATCACGAGCAAGAGATCGAGACCACCTGGCAACACGGATGAAAACCAACCCCGCATCTCTACTAAAAATGCCAAAAAAAAAATGAGACGGCTCGAGACAGGCAGCCGCGCTGCAGTCCAGCCTACCTCGAGACAAACGCCAGGGGCTTGAGGCAGGAGAATTGGCCGTCGAACCAGCGGAGAGAGGGCTTGCAGTGAGCCAGAGAATCAGCGCACCAACTGCCACTGCACTCAGGCCTGGGGGACCAGAGCGAGGACTCGTTCTCAAAAAAAAAAAAAAAAAGAAAAAAGGTGACACAGCTACCTTACTCTTATAATATAAAATCAATTAATGTGCACAAAGGCCCCCCTTCACTGTGGTCTCGATCTCCTGACCTTGTGATCCGCCCGCCTCGGCCTCCCAAAGTGCTGGGATTACAGGCGTGAGCCACCGCGCCCGGCTAAAAATAAGATTTTATGTCATATGTGTTATATTTATTTACTGGTGTTCATGGAATAGGTTAATATGTACATTTTTAAACATAGGATTTTACGTTATATGTGCTGTAATATTTACTGGTGTTCATGGAATAGGTTAATATGCTTATTTGTAATATTCGTGTTTTTAAAATCTTTTCTTTACCAAAAATCACATTTTAAAAATAGTTGTTTTGGCTCGGTAGCTCACACCTGTAATCCCAGCACGTTAGGAGGCTGAGGCAGGCACATCACTTGAGGCCAGGAGTTTGAGAACAGCCTGGCCAACATGGCAAAACCCTGTCCTACTAAAAATAGAAAAATTAGTTGGGTGTGGTGATACACACCTGTAGTCCCAGCTACGCAGGTGGCTAAGGCACGATAATCACTTGAACCCAGAAGGCGGAGGTTGCAGTGAGCCAAGATGGTGCCACTGCACTCCAGCCTGTGTGACAGAGCGAGACTCTGTCTCTAAAAAAAAAATTGTTTCGGTGAAGAAAAGTAAAGTCTTATAATATTTCTGCACCTATAATGGTGATAAAAGTATGTTTTAAGTAGTTACATATATATAGTTGCTTGCAAGATGAAAGTAGTAAATTGATTGATTAAAACTATCAGATGCAAGCCTACTTTCTTTTTTGTCCGGAAAACCCACATGATTAAGAGTTTTCGGGTTCCTTTCACTTTGTCCTTGACCTTGCATTTTTACTTGCAGCCTAAGTCAGAATTACTAACCGTAAGAGAATAGGATACCAACATCCGGTTGGTAGTCACCCAAACCAAACACGTGTGTTTGTATTCCAGAGCAGTGTCTCTTCTTAGGGCACTGGTTTCCCATCATAATGGAGATTAACCAGTAGTAGTCTATACAAGTAGAAGACAATGATTTTGTTTTATGTTATCTATATGAAAGTGTCCATGGGGCATTTTTAAGAGTGTAATGGAACACCATTAATAACTATGCTGGGCAACAGGGAAAAACTGGGACTCTTCTTGGGTAACTTGGAAATGTCAGTCTAATTGTGTATCTAGTGTGTATTACAAAAAGTCAGTGTTGTAGGAGAAATGTCCATATTTAGATATGCTAATATTTCAAATCTATAATTGGTATCTAAAACATAATTTTTATCTTTTGAGGACCTGCTTACAAAATTTTGTAAATATGTCTGATAAAAACTTTTAGTATGTTTTTCTTTTTAGGATGATCGTTTGAGAGAACCTCTGCAAAAACTGAAACTGGCTGTTAGCAATGTCATGCCTGAACAGCTATTTAAATACCAGGAGGACTGCCAGGCTCGTAGTCAAGCTAAGTGTGCCAAGTATGTATCTCTTCTATTTGGACTGGCTTTTGTATTTGAGAAGTGTATGTATGTATGTATGTATGTATGTATGTGTGTGTTTTGAGACGGAGTCTCACTCTGTTGCCCAGGCTGGAGTGGAGTGGTACGATTTTAGCTCACTGCAACTTCTGCCTCCCGGGTTCAAGTGATTCCCCTGCCTCAGCCTCACAAGTAGCTGGGATTACAGGCACCTGCCACCACACCTGGCTAATTTGTGTATTTTTAGTAGAGAGAGGGTTTTACCATGTTGGCCAGGCTGGTCTCAAACTCCTTACCTCAGGTGATCCACCCGCCTCAGCCTCCCAAAGTGCTGGGATTACAGGCGTAAGCCACCGTGTCTGGACGTGCATTTGAGAAGTGCTTTTAGCTGTTCTGATGTTAAGTGGACCTCATTCTCAAGTAGAAATCCACATATACCACTGACATGATATAATTGAGTATTTTGTAAATGGCACTCAGTTGCTTTGGAGTCAGAGACAAAAGGTGTTTGTTAATGGATTGTACGGAGGTGATCAAGCAAGAGCTGACACTGTTGAGACATTTCACAACCCCACCTTGACTTGCTGTGGTTGAATGCAAGTATTTTCTGAACTAAAAGATGAATGTTGGTGCCTTTACATTGTAATTTGAAGTCCTTGTTTACCAAACTACTTTATAACTCCTTTCAAATTCGAAGTATTTTGTGGAAAGGTAGATTCCCTCTTTACCCTCTCTTTTAACATTCAACTAAGCAATTCAACAAGTGTTTATGGAGCATATTATATAGGCAGTGATGGGTTGAAAGTTTGTTTTGTAAAGTGGTTTTCATTTTTAGATTGCATACAGATGAAGAACGTGAAAAAAATGGATCCGAAGAAGATGATGATGAGAAACCAGGAAAACGTGTCATAGGACCAAGAAAGAAATTCCACTGGGATGATACCATCAGGTAAGATTTAATTAGTTTTCACTTTTAATGTATAATGCAGAAGTAAGATTCCTCATTTAAAAAAAAAAAAACAAAAAACTCTGTAATAAATATAAAACTAGATTGGAAGCAACCAAAGATTAGTGTGTAGGAAAAAATTATTCAAGAGAAGATTAACTAGGCTCTACTATCCTCAGAGTATTATTGATTTTATTTTCATATACACTGTAATACTTTTTATAAACTGATCTAATAATGGAGTGAGTCATACTGGTTTCAGAAGGTGAAGTACTTTCAACATATTTCTTCTTGAGCCATCTTTCTCAATAGTATTTCTGTACCCCAAGTAGAGAACCATCCCTTTCAATCTTTGGTGCTTTGATTAAAGATACCAAAGGAAATTGTTTCATATTGGGGGTTTGACTGTGGTGCAATGAATGATATATGTTAGAAATTGTTATTTTCTGAATTTTTCACATAATCTGTATTATTGCTGCCAAATTTATGTTCTTCTAAAAAAAGTTTCAAATTTAATTTTCAATCTGTTTAGAACTTTGTTATGTAACCTTGTTGAGATCAAATTGGGATGCTATGAGTTAGAACCAAATAAAAGCCAGTCTGCTGAAGATTATCTTAAGTCTTTTATGGAGACAGAGGTGAAGCCCCTGTGGCCTAAGGGCTGGATGCAGGCAAGGTAAGAAATGCAACTTACTGGATTTTATTTAATTTTATTATTATTGCTGTTATTAAAGATATACATACACATACACATACATGACATTGATTTTGCTAAGAACCTAATGTATTCAGCATGCTGTATAGTCATCTCAGATGACCGTTGCTTTGAAGACCTTAAGCACTTAAATGACAAAACAGTCATGCATACACAGAGATAGATGTAAAGGTGATATTTTACTTAACATTTTTTTAAACACCCAAATTTGCTAGTAGAGAAAAAGAGAGAAGACTCCCAAATGGTTATGAAGTTTGGAAGAGGAACTTCATATGGGTAACATGAAGATAAGGAACCAAATACGGGATTAGAGCATAAGCAAAGAGACATAGCCTTAGGTTCTATTGAAAATAGTCATTGTAGAGGCCGGGCGCGGTGGCTTATGCCTGTAATCCCAGCACTTTGGGGGGCCAAGGCAGGCGGATCGCCTGAGGTCAGGAGTTCAAGACCAGCCTGACCAACATGGAGAAACCTCGTCTCTACTAAAAATACAAAATTAGCCGGGGTGGTGGCGCATGCTTGTAATCCTAGCTACTTGGAAGCTGAGACAGGAGAATCGCTTGAACCCAGGAGGTGGAGGTTGCAGTGAGCCGAGATCGCACCATTGCACTCCAACCTGGGCAACAAGAGTGAAACTCCATCTCAAAAAAAAAAAAGAAAAAAGAAAATAGTCATTATAGGCCAGGTTCCCAGTGGCTTACACCTGTAATCTCAGCAGTTTGGAAGGCCAAGGTGAGAGGATTACTTTGAGCCCCAGGAGTTTGAGAACAGTTTCAAAAAATAAGTAAATAAATAAAATATTCAGTGTAGAGAAGTATCTCAAGAAACTAAGAGTCACTCTGTTTAAAATCTCAAGGGTTGGCCGGGCGTGGTGGCTCAAGCCTATAATCCCAGCACTTTGGGAGGCCGAGACGGGCGGATCACAAGGTCAGGAGATTGAGAGCATCCTGGCTAACACGGTGTAACCCCGTCTCTACTAAAATATACAAAAAATTAGCTGGGCGAGGTGGTGGGTGCCTGTAGTCCCAGCTACTTGGGAGGCTGAGGCAGGAGAATGGCATAAACCCGGGAGGCAGAGCTTGCAGTGAGTTGAGATCTGGCCACTGTACTCCAGCCTGGGGGACAGAGCGAGACTCCGTCTCAAAAAAAAAAAAATCTCAAGGATTAAGTAAAGAATGTCGCCCGTTGCGGTGGCTCACACCTGTAATTGCAGCACTTTGGGAGGCCAAGGCAGGTGGATCACTTGAGGTCAGGAGTTTGAGACCAGCCTGGCCAACATGGTGAAACCCTGTATCTACTAAAAATACAAAAATTAGCTGGGTGTGGTGGTGGGCACCTGTAGTCCCAGCTACTCAGGAGGCTGAAGCAGGAGAATCACTTGAACCTGGGAGGCAGATGTTACAGTGAGCCGAGATTGCGCCATTGCACTCCACCTGGGCAACAAGAGCAAAACTCTGTCTCAAAAAAGAGAGTTAAGAATGTAAAAATTAAATTTGGCTAGTTCTACCCATGATCTTAAATTACTCCATCTTACATCAACAGAAAAGATCTGTTGACCAGGTGTGGTAGCTCACCCCTGTATTCTCAGCACTTTAGGAGGCACAGGGCCACGGTGTGAGGATTGCTTGAGGCCAGGGGTTCAAGACCAGCCCGGGCAACATAGTGAGATCTCTGACTCTGCAAAAAGTTTTAAAAATTAGCTGGGCATGGTGGCACACACCTGTAATTCCAGCTTCTTTGAAGGCTGAGTTAGGAGGACCATTTGAGCCCAGAAGGCCTAGGTTACAGTGAGCTATGAATAAAACTCTCCATAAAACAGATTATTGAGTATACTGTACCATTATAACTTTTACTTGGTAAATAAGCAAGTAATAGTCTGTTGAAAATTAAATTACTTTAAAAATAAAACAATTATGTTATTATCTGCTATAAAAAAATAATAATTGTGTTCTTTAAATTTTTCCAGAATGCTTTTTAAGGAAAGCCGGAGTGTTCATAATCATCTTACTTCTGCTCCGTGAGTAAATGCAGACTCCAGATTGCTTCATTTATTCACATTATGTGCTTTAGTGATCAAAAGTGTCATTTATTAAATGCTAGTTGGAATAGGACTTAAAAAGATCATTTTGACCATTGACTATTTAGATTTCAGAACACATTTATCTATTGAAATAATTGTCAGGCTACTCTCTAAACACCTACTAAATGCATAGTGTGACACAAAATGGCCTGGGATTCTGGTAGTAGGGAAGCGTGAAGGCTCAGGGGTTTTCCTTTGTTCCTGGGCCTTCTACCTGCCAGTCTTTTTCTCCACCTCTTAACGTCCATCTGCATTTGTAATCCACAGCCCTCTGCTGTCTTGAGTTTACCAGGACAGATCCATATGCACACCCACCCTTGCTGTGCTGCAGAATGTTTTCCATAAAATTCACCGACTCTTGAGGTCTTTCCTTCTGTTCAAAACGGGGTATTTCCTTAGTGATGTGATTACTAGAGAAAGATCTTTTATCTTACCCACATAAAACAAAAAGGCAAGTTTTTTCTGTGGTCACCTTTTTGGTTGACTATTGGTCAATTCCAGAACAGTTTTATTTTTCCCTACAACTTGGGGCACCTTCTCTGTAGCCTGCAAGGGTGGCATTAAGGGTTAAAACCTGGCAGAGTGGCTCACGCCTGTAATCCCAGCACTTTGGGAGGCCGAGGTGGGTGGATTGCTTGCCTAGGAGTTAGAGACTGGCTTGGGCAACATGGCGAAACTCCTTCTCTACAAAAAATACAAAACTTAGCCAGGCATGGTGGTGTGTGCCTGTAGTCCCAGCTACCCAGGAGGCTGAGGTGGGAGGATGGCTTACGCCAGCCAGGGAGGTGGAGGTTGTAATAGTGGAGATCATGCCACTGCCCTCCAGCCTGGGGGACAAAGCAGACCTTGTTTCTAGGAAAAAAAAAAGGGAGTTATTAAAATACAAAATTAGCAAGTTACTGAGAATTTACTGAACACTCTAATTCAATATTCTGCTGAGAGGTCTGTTTAACATCTTTTGGGCAACATTATAAAATTCCTACTCTCCTTGTATGCAATTATATAGGAATTTTTTAGTTTTTAGGAAGGACATTTCATTATTACAGTTGACCCTTGGAACAACACAGGAGTTAGGGATTTCACCCCCTCACCCCACACAGACAAAAATCCACGTGTAACTTTCAGCTCTCCCAGAACTTCACTGCTGATAGCCTACTGTTGACCCGAAGCCTTACTGATAACATAAATAGTTCATGAACACATTTTGTATGTTTTATGTACCATATACTGTATTCTTAACAATAAAGTAAGCTAGAGAAAAGAAAATGTTAATAAGAAAATCATAAGGAAGAGAAATTATATTTACTGTTCATTAAGTGGAAGCGAATCATCATAAAGGTCTTCATCCTCAGGAGTCAACTGTATATCATCAGGGATGTATTGAGTTGGTTGTGGTTTTTGGTTCTTAGTGTTTTTTTAGTATAAGTTCTAAGTAGTTTGGTTTCATATATTATAGGCTTACTTGTTGCAAGTGTTTTTGTTGTCTTTGAAATAAATTTTATATACATATGTATATGTTTGTGTCAGTAGTATTTTTGGCTTTAATTTCCCTGTACAGTAGTCCCCCTTATCCTCAGACAATATACTCCAAGATGCCTGCAGTGGATGCCAAAACTGCAGACAGTACTGAACCCTACATAGACTATTTTTTCCTATACAGACATTCCTATGATAGATTTGAGTTTACAAATGGGGCGCAGTAAGAGACTGACAACAACAATAATAAAAGAGAACAGTTTAACAATATACTATAATAAAAGTTATGTGAATGTGGTTTCTTTCTATTTCTGGAATTTTCCATTTAATGTTTTCAGACCTCAGTTGACCACAGGCAACTGAAACCGCAGAAATTGAAAACTGTGGATAAGGGGGGGCTACTGTAGTTCCAAAGCCATATATGCATTACAATTCAGGTACAAATAATGCATTCCTTTAATTCTAAAGGTGTTTACAAAAGATGTCTCCCTCTCTGTCTTTTTTTTTTTTTTTTTTTTTTTGAGATGGAGTCTTGCTCTGTCACGCAAGCTGGAGTGCAGTGGAACAATCTCGACTCACTGCAACCTCCATCTCCCAGGTTCAAGCAATTCTTCTGCCTCAGCCTCCCGAGTAGCTGGGACTACGGGCGTGAGCCACCACACCTGGCTAATTTTTGTATTTTTAGTAGAGACGGGGTTTCACCATGTTGGCCAGGCTGGTCTCAAACTCCTGGCCTCACATGATCTGCCTGCCTCAGCCCAAAGTGCTAGGATTACAGGCTTGAGCCACTGCACCCAGCCTCCTTCTCCCTTTTTTAAAATATCTTCATTATGAGCATTAACTTTGTGTTTTGTTTAACTTTGTGTTTTGTTTTGTACTGTAAAGTAGGAATCTATGGGATAAGTGGGCCTAGAGGTCGTTTCCCTAAATGGCCTTCATCAAAAAAAACTTAGAAAATTACTGTTGCCTAAATGAAGTTGTAAGTTGACAGTTTTAATCAAGATTCTTGTTAATCTAGTCAGTGACATTTTAGCCAAGTGAAGTAGACAAGGTGAAGTATTTTAGCTTGTCAACACTTATTCAACAAACATTTGAATACTTTGACTTACTATGGAACTCGTTAGTTTTTTTTAATCTTTGAACTTTTTCATAGTTTTCCAAAACTTCCAAGATTCCATAGTAATTTTTCTTGCCCTTTTTCTCCCTGTCATTTTGACATTTTTTATTTGAATTTTTACGTTACAAAAATTTTTCTTTAAAAGCTCAGGGGTTTTTTTGTTTTGGTTAAGTTAAATCTCATTCACACTTTCTTTGCATGGTTTAATTTGAGCCTGAAGTTCCTTGAAGCTCTTTTAGGAGGGGGGTTGTTTTACAGTTTATGTATTTACATTTAATTTTTAGAAAATGGTATTATCTACATTTCATGTTTTACTGGTTGTTTGGCCTTTCAGTTAATCTGAATTGGGGAAAATGTTGCTACACACTTAGTATAAACTGAGCACTTAAATATGGTTCCTTCAAAGAGCTTTCCAAATAGCAGAAGGAATTATTTACCACATAATTACAAAGCTATTTATTATAATTTTCTAATGAGCAATATAACTGCTACTGAAATAGCCTTTTAAAATCATTTTATCTTAGGGCAAAGAAAAAGGTGATTCCTGCACCTAAACCCAAAGTAAAGGTAAGTATTAAAACAAAATCTTTAATTAGTTATAGTTGGTGAATGTGAAATACATTCGTAAGATGAAAAAGATTTATGGTATTTAGCAGAGGTCAGTAGGCACTATAAGATAGGTGTTTTCAACTTCATAATAATCTTAGAACTTTTGTATTTGGGAGAATAGATTCCTGTGTAGCAGTGGGAAATATGCATATGCCGATTATAAAGCTTAACTTTATTAATACTTGGAAATGCTAGGTAAACTATAACAAATATTCTTTCATAGCACAGCTGAGATTGAAAATATGTAAGAAAAATTCCTAAGACCAAAAACAAAAAAGGAGCTGACAGTGTTAATCTGTCTCTTAAACTTTGGTTGCCCTTGGAGGCATTTGGCACTTTCTACCCATCACTTTATGGTTTCTTTTTATGTTTCTTCTCAGAGCATAGCAGTTAGGGTTTTCTTGGGCTTGTACAGGTTAAAACTTGGGATGAAATCTGTGTAAAGCTGGACCTTCAAACTATAACGTATTTAGTAAAAGAAAGGACTAGAAAAAAATCCAGCCACCAGCAGAAGACATTAAGAAAAGTGGCTCTTGGCCGGGCGCAGTGGCTCACGCCTGTAATCCCAGCAATTTGGGAGGCCGAGGCGGGCGGATCACAAGGTCAAGAGATCGAGACCATCCTAGCTAACATGGTGAAACCCTGTCTCTACTAAAAATACAAAAAACTAGCCGGGCGTGGTGGTGGGCGCCTGTAGTCCCAGCTCCTTGGGAGGCTGAGGCAGGAGAATGGCGTGAACCCGGGAGGCGGAGCTTGCAGTGAGCTGAGATCGTGCCACTGCACTCCAGCCTGGGAGACAGAGCCAGACTCCGCCTCAAAAAAAAAAAAAAAGAAAAGTGGCTGTCTTGGACTGGGTTCTGGTTTGGAGGAAGAATGTCCTTGCTGAAAATTTTTCTTGGCTTAGGAGTTTAAGTTACACTACCTCTACAATCTGAGAAAACCCCAAGCGGAAAAAGTAACTTAGTTATTGAATTAGTAGTAACCCAGGGCCTCTGGCAAAAGTAAATTCTATGTAGCATAATGTGCCCTCTTCAGAGGCCTCAAAGGCCTTCCTCCTATAAACCACGTCAGACCTGAACTTACAGTCTGAAATACAGAATACATGAGAGGATAAGTTACTATGAGTGAGAGTCAGTAGGAACAATAAACAACAGTTAGATCCCTAAGACAGACAAGTAGTGCATTTATGGAATTTAGTACATAAAATAATTTTACTTAAAATTTTTTAATATTTAGAGAAATAGAAAAGGGAATAAAAGATATCCTATCAAAATAGACAAAGTAGATTTGAAAGAGAATCAAAATATAACCTCTGGAAGTAAAAACTATAGTCATTTGAAATTAAAATTTTAATGAAAGCCCATACCTTTTAGGTTTTACACTTTGCTCTGTAGCCTTTGTCTCTTTGGTTTTTTGTTGTTGTTGTTGTTTTTAACAGATGAGTTTCTTCGCTTGTAAGATTGTGTCCAGATGGTCAATATTTATTATTCTGTGGCCTTCCTGACTTTTTTGGTGTTAGAGCCTCTTTAAATGCAGGGTAAATAGTCTTTTTCTTTTTTCTTTCTTTTTTTTTTTTTTTTGAGACAGTCTTGCCATGTCAGCCAGGCTGGAGTGCAGTGGTGCGGTGCGATCTCGGCTTACTGCAACCTCCACCTCCCAGGTTCAAGCAATTCTCCTGCCTCAGCCTCCTGAGTAGCTGGGATTACAGGCGCGTACCACCACGCCTGGCTAATTTTTGTATTTTTAGTAGAGACAGGGTTTCACCATGTTGGTCGTGCTGGTCTCGAACTCCTGACCACGTGATCCACCTGCCTTGGCTTCCCAAAGTGCTGGGATTTCAGGTGTGAGCCACCGTGCCCAGCCAATAGTCCTCTTTTTCTTAATAACCTACTACTTTGTCTTCTGATCCAAATAATATTGAGCCAATCTTTCATTAAATCTCTTGAGTTTGGACTTTGTTTTGACACTTCACTTTATTTTTATTAGAATACTAAAGTTTTAATAGCCTCCATAAAGGATTGGTTACATTTTGATACATCTGTTCAAACATATGATTAATAGAATAATTGGATAGGAAATTTATTAAATTCTAACACTGGATGTGTTAGAATGATATGGGGGAGTCATCAGTTTTTTTGTTTGCTTCCTTCTCTATGGTTAAATTACTTTTTCCTTTTCCCAAAATGGAAAAGCTATATTGTTGATGTGGTTTTTTTCCTACTGTAACTCCCCATACTGTTTCTAGTTACAAAGGTTAAGATAAGGAAATGCCTATAATAGAAAATGCAAATAACACAGAAAAGTAAGGAGAAAAGTAAAAGTATCTATAAATTTCTCCTCAGTGAGAGAATAAAAGCTCTTGGCTTTCTGGGACACATCTTCCTTCCCTTCTTCTGAAACTCTGTTCTTCCCTCCCTCCCTTCCATTCATCCATCCATGCATCTATCCAATTAGCTATCCATTTATTTAGTCTTTTATATAAATGGGACAACCTGCTTTTTTGACTCAGTTATATATCCTGAACAATTCTCTGCCAGTATAAATCTACACAGTATTCTATTAGAGTGCATTTGATGTTTTTATAAATAAAAATTAATAATCAAAATCACTTTAAAACAGCAGTTTTATACTAGTAATACTTCCAACATTTGGATACATTTCCCACCCTTTATTTTGTACTTTTTATAATGGTATTTTCACTAATTACATAAGTGGATGGCATATCAAAACAAACGTGTCTCATTTGTATTACCTATTCTTCTTAGCAGACATTTGTGACCTTAATGTAGTACACTTGTACTTCCAATAGGCAGTGAGGTTTTTAATCAGGGGTTTTAGAATAAAAGCTTAGAAAAAATGCTAAGGAAGTTAGAGTGTAACAGTATTCTTAACAGCTTGCTTATGTAATACCTTAGGAGGTGATGGTAAAGACCCTTCCTCTCCATTCTTTCCCTACTATGCTTAAGGTAAGTGCTATGGTTGTATAAATCAGTATATAATATAACACTCTAGGTTTGTTTGGGTTTGTTTAAGAAACTAATTGAGGAGACTTTGATATGACTTTTATGTAATAGGTTTTTGCTTCTCAATCTTAATAAAATGAGTCAAATACTTTATTTATCTTTAAAAATAAATAGATGCTTTTTAATTATTTTGCTCTTTGAATATTGTAAACTGTGCTCTAGTTGTTTTCCTTAAATATTAAGAAGGTTGATTCTTTGAGAAACAGACTCTAACAACTGTTAGGTATTCAGAGTTGTAATTCTTAATACCCTTGTTTTGTTAGCATAGAGCCCTGCTCACAGCGGACACTTAATGGATATATATTGAATAAATGACAAATGAATAATTTATAAATAAATTACAGATTCACCATAACAAATAGCATAATTTATATATGCTTGGATTGAATCATCTGCCACTTTGACGTACCAGTTTTTCTATGTACTGGCTGTAGGGTAGCTGCAGGACAGGGCATACAAAGAGGCAGAAATGCATGGAAGCAGAAAGTGAAGGTCAGCCTCCTAGCAAACCATCCCAGACGAGAAGGGGAGAGTCTTAATATAAAGGCAGAATTTCTCCTGAGTGCAGGGGAATAAAAAGAGAATAATCTGAACAGATGGATTTGGAGCAGGATGTGAAGATCTGATGCAGGTGAGGGAGGCTCATCAGTAATGTTACTAGTATATGAATGTTCCTTCCACTTGGTGTTAAGCTTACCAAGGTATGACAGCTATGTGCAATATATCAGATACTTTGTTTTGTGAGGACAGCTCAGTCAGGAGCTCTGTCATTTCAAAAATTATTTTTGTTTTGATAGTCTCTGAACATTTCCAGTAGAAAAACAATTTTAATTGTCATGAAAATCTCTTAGTTATTTAAAATTAACTTTGTAATTTTTTATTCACCATTTCTATTTTTTTCATATGATGCTTTACATTAGGAGTATAGTCCAAAAAAGGACCAGAAAACTCCGGCATCCCTGGTGGCTTCAGTTAGCGGTCCTCCAACGAGCTCCAGCACAACTGCCGTTGCTGCAGCCAGCTCTAGCTCTGCACCAGCCCAAGAAACCATCTGCCTCGACGACTCACTAGATGAAGACCTTTCTTTCCATTCACCTTCACTGGATCTTGTTTCTGAAGCTTTAGCGGTTATCAACAGCGGGAACAAGGGCCCTCCTGTTGGCTCAAGGATAAGCATGCCAACCACAAAGCCTCGTCCAGGACTGAGAGAAGAAAAATTAGCTAGTATCATGAGTAAGCTGCCACTGGCTACTCCCAAAAAACTAGATTCTACTCAGCCTACACATTCTTCAAGTCTTATTGCTGGTCACACAGGGCCAGTACCAAAGAAACCCCAGGATTTAGCTCATACTGGCATCTCTTCAGGCCTTATTGCTGGTTCTTCCATTCAGAACCCTAAAGTTTCTTTAGAACCTTTGCCAGCCAGGCTACTTCAACAAGGACTTCAGAGGTCAAGCCAGATTCACACTTCTTCCTCTTCACAGACCCACGTCTCCTCTTCTTCCCAAGCCCAAATTGCTGCCTCTTCTCATGCTCTGGGAACATCCGAGGCCCAAGATGCTTCTTCATTAACACAAGTAACAAAGGTGCACCAGCATTCAGCTGTCCAGCAGAACTATGTGTCTCCATTACAGGCCACCATCAGTAAATCCCAGACCAACCCTGTGGTGAAGTTAAGTAATAATCCCCAACTCTCCTGTCCCTCCTCGCTTATTAAGACTTCAGATAAGCCACTTATGTACCGCCTTCCTTTATCTACCCCCTCACCTGGAAATGGTTCTCAAGGGTCCCACCCCCTGGTTTCTAGGACAGTACCTAGCACCACTACCTCCAGTAACTATTTAGCCAAGGCTATGGTGTCACAGATCTCCACGCAGGGTTTCAAATCTCCCTTCTCGATGGCTGCCTCCCCAAAACTTGCCGCATCTCCCAAGCCTGCCACATCTCCTAAACCCCTGCCCTCGCCTAAGCCTTCTGCCTCACCCAAGCCCTCTCTGTCAGCTAAGCCTTCAGTATCAACTAAACTTATTTCTAAATCCAACCCGACTCCCAAGCCTACTGTATCCCCAAGTAGTTCCAGTCAAAATGCACTAGTAGCCCAGAGTAGCCACTCCAGCACTAACAACCCGGTCCATAAACAGCCCAGTGGAATGAACATCAGCAGACAGTCTCCCACCTTGAATTTATTGCCCTCTAATCGCACTTCAGGCCTTCCATCTACAAAAAATCTTCAGGCCCCCTCAAAGCTAACAAACTCATCATCCACTGGAACTGTTGGGAAGAATAGCTTGAGTGGAATTGCAATGAATGTACCTGCCAGCAGAGGTAGCAACCTTAACTCAAGCGGAGCTAATAGGACTAGTCTATCTGGGGGAACAGGAAGTGGAACACAGGGTGCTACCAAACCATTGTCTACTCCACATAGACCATCCACTGCCTCAGGGTCTTCAGTGGTAACAGCCAGTGTGCAGGTATGTATGTTCTGTACATCCATGTGATAAACTATAAGATTGCATAGTGTCATCTTTCTTGTAGGTAACTTTAATAAGCTTTTTATGATATGTGGATTGTTCTCAATAGGCTTATTACAGCCTGTGGCCATGGAATATTCCTGATGCTGACATCATAGTGGTAGGCACACTTGTAGATGAGGTATTTGTTGGGATGTGGATTTTTTTTTTTAAACAAAGTAACGAAGGTGCACCAGCATTCAGCTGTCCAACAGAACGATGTCTTCATTACAAGCAACCATCACTAAATCAACTTTAAAATTATTTGAAAAAGCACAACTAAAATGCATATTTCAAACTTTCTTATCAAAATTCAGAACAAAGTAGTAACTTAGGAATTTAACATTCACTTAACTCTTCCCTTCCCTTTTTCTCCTGCCAGCTTTCTTATTTTTAAATCAAATTTTTACATTCCGTTATTTTTTAATCATTTATCTTCTCAAAATTTTTATTTTGCATTAATTTTATAGTGCTATATAATTTTCTGTGTCAAATTAGTGTCAGTTGTCCTTTTATTCCACAGTTTACCCATTCATGAATTTTTAGTTTAAACTTATCTCTCAGTTAGCTGAGTGCCTCACTCAAGCAATCTTTTTAAGAAGGGTAGCCTGGCGTGGTGGCTCATGCCTCTAATCCCAGCACTTTGGGAGGCCAAGGCAGGAGGAACACTTGAGGTCAGGAGTTCAAGACCAACCTGGCCAACATGGTGAAACCCTGGCTACTAAAAATACAAAAAAATTAGCCAGGCATGGTGACGCATGCCTGTAGTCGCAGCTGTTTGGGAGGCCGAGGCAGGAGAGTCGCTTGAACCCAGGAGGCAGAGGTTGCAGTGAATGATATCACGCCATTGCATTCCAGCCTGGGTGACAGAGCGAAACTCCATCTCAAAAAAAAAAATAGTAATAAATTTTTAAAAGAGTAGCATGAATGCTATTTTACCTTAGCTCATGTGCACCTGGTAATTTCTTTCTGTGCTATCACACTTGAGTAGGCATAACCTTCTTGGGGCACTAACTGTTCCACTTCAAATTTTGTAAATACTCTTCCACTGACTCTTGCTTAGTATTTAGGATTATGGAGAAGTCTGAGACCATTCTCAGACTTTTCTCATTCTCCTTTTGTTCCCTTATCATTAATGTGTTTTCTCTGCCTAGTTTTCATTAGTTGTATACCTAGAACATAATAATAGCATTCCATCTCAGACCTGGTTATTTATTTTAGATCAAGAATATTTTATTGTGTTATGTGTCTGATTACTGTTTCTGATGCATTTATCCTAAGTTTTTTGAGAACCCTTTATTATATTTATTTATTTATTTATTTTTAAATTTTTCCCTGAGACGGAGTCTCACTCTGTTGTATAGGCTAGAGGGCAGGGACGCAATCTTGGCTCACTGCAACCTCCGCTTCTTGGGTTCAAGAGATTCTCCTGCCTCAGGCTCCCAAGTAGCTGGAATTACAGGCACCTGCCACCATGCCTGGCTAATTTTTGTATGTTTATTTATTTATTGTTATTTTTTGAGACCAAGTCTCCTCTGTCGCCCAAGCTGGAGTGCAATGGTGTGATCTCGGCGCACTGCAACCTCCACCTCTGGGGTTCAAGCAATTCTCCCTACCTCAGCCTCCTGAGTAGCTGGGATTATAGGCACCCACCACCGTGCATAGAGACAATATTTTGCCATGTTGGCCAGGCTGGTCTTGAACTCCTGACCTCAGGTGATCCACCCACCTCGGCCTCCCAAACTGCTGGGATTACAGGCGTGAGCCACCACGCTCGGCCTAACTTTTATATTTTTAGTAGAGTTGGAGTTTCACCATGTTGACTGGGCTGGTCTCAAACTCCTAACCTCAAGTGATCCGCCTGCCTCGGCCTCCCAAAGTGCTGGGGTGATAGGCATGAGCCACCACACCCAGCCTATGTTTCGTCTCTCTGTCTTCCATATCATCTTCTGTTATTGTTTTACTCTCTCTGCCACTTCTTTGTATTCTGACACTTTCTCAGATTTGTCCTTTATGTTAATGGTTTAGATTCTTTAACTTTTTTTCCCCTGAAAGTAATTAATATGTGTTCATTGAAGTCAAATTTAGAAAAAAGAAAATAAAAATCACCTATTAATCCAACACTGTTTACGCTTTGTAGGTACTTTTTAAGACTTTTTTCGATAAAATGTGTTTTATATATTTCATTTTATAACTGGCCAAAAAAAAAAAATACCATTTTATGATATGCAAGTTCTTAGGTTCTTAAATACTCTTTGAAAACATAACCTTTATTGATTTATGGAATTGCGTTGTCTAAGGAAGTACTCTTTGTACTGCCTCCTATTTATGTGGAACAGCAACATCTAATGAGAAGAGTTTTCCCTTGCTGTATGTCAAGGTTTACTGCTGTTCAATACAGTCTAAGGGTTGATACTCAATATACATTGCGTACATTCAGTATACGTATATTCACATCATCATTCTGCCACTGATGTAGGCATAGGAATGACTAGATGTCAGAATTCTAATGTAGAACAAATTCAGATAACTGGTAATTCATTAATTGAAATCTAGGATTAACTGATGTTTTATGTATGTACATTTACTTTCATCAGAAATAAAATAATAAAAACAAATTGATATTAGGGATTATATGTTAAAATGTATATGGAGATGAATGAATAAAGACCTTCCCTTATGAAAAAAAAGTATGTGGAAGATTGGAGTTAGTCTGCATTACTGTCTATATTATCTTTATTAAAAAATTTACTCTTGTTAAGATTCTTAATTTGATAAAAGGAATAAGTGAAAAGATAGCATAAATGGTAGTTCCCTGCCCCATATCCTCCTCCTAGGGTTAACTACTTTTAATCCTTTCAGCATTTTCTTCTTAGTGTTTTTAAATAAGAATAATAAATGGAAAACTCTTAATTTTATCAATTTTATAAAAATTTGGGGAGTTATTTCTGGAATTAAAAACTCCTTTTTATTTTCATTTGCTTCATTTTCTTTGAACTTAAGATTAAATCTTTCTTCATCCTTTGTCATCTCTACAATCTGTCAGTTCTATTTTGTTCCCAAAGATCTTCCTGTATTTGATCATTTATCACAAAAGAACCTCTGTATTGTCTAACAAATAATTGGTTTGTCAGCATGGAGGCTACTTGGCAAAATATGCATTTCTGAAGACTAGCTACTCCCTCCTGGTTTTCTTCCTCTCCCAAATGGCTTTATGATTTGGAGACTGAAGTGTTCCTGTCTTCATATCTGATCTTTTTTTCTTTTTTCTGTCTTACTGGTTTGACTGAAGAAAAGTTTAATAATTCATTAAGGGCATTTCTACCCCTTGACGAAACTAAAGTTCTTTTTGTTTTAATGTAGCATCTCAGTGAAGTCTTACCAGCTATCTTGTGGCCTCTAGAACCTGTCTATAGCTCTCTAGTACTGAAAACAGATTTCCTATCTATGCGTGTAAAGCATTCACCTTCTGTCTGAAAGGCATCTGTGGGTGTCTACTCATTTGCAGAGTGAAAATGACAGGTCCTTTAACAAATGGCAAAAGGTAAACTCCTTCTGGGTTCAGGTTGTTAGCTCTGCTTGCTTTCTATTTAATAACTTTCCGTACAGGGGTTTCCTCCTGTTTCTTACCCTTCAATTTACTGATTTTCTTTGAATCTTGTCTTTGCCACTTTATAATTCCAAACATCATTCATTCATTAAGCAAATGTTTATTGAATGTTTACTATGTGCCAGGCACTCTTCTAGGTGCTGGGGAAATAGGGATGAACAGCATACTCAGCATTCCTGCTCTCATGGAGCATATAGTCTATGTAGGAAGACAAGCAAAAATACAAGTTTTATGAAAAAATAAAATTTGTAGGATAATATGATAAAGAGTTATTGCTGCCACCATAAAGAAGGTGAAGAAGGTTTGAGGAGGTAACATTTGATCTGAGAATTGAATGAGCAGAAGCCAGCCATGTGGAGAAAAGAGGGGAAAAATAATTCAGGCCAGAGGGAACACTTGTATGAAGACACTGAGATGGAAAAGAGCCTGAAGTGAAGGCCTGCATGTCTGGACCATGGAGAGAGAGTGGTAGGTGATGAGATCAGAGAGAGACCAGAACCATGTCATGGAGGACCTTGTGAGCCACAGTAAGGACTTTGGATTTTATTCTCTGTGCAGTGGGAAGCTATTGGAGTTTCTTAAGCAGGGGACTGGTATGGTCTGATTTGCATTTCAAAAGGTTACTCTGAGTGTTGTGGGAAATAGGGGATCAGTGCATTCACCAAAGTAGAGTATGTGGTTTAAAAAAAATTTAATTGCAGCCAGTCGCAGTGGTCACACCTGTAATCCCAACACTTTGGGAGGCCGAGGTGGGTGGATCACAAGGTCAGGAGAGCAAGGTCATCCTGGCCACCATGGGGAAACCCCGTCTCTACTAAAAATGCAAAAATTAGCTGGGTGTGGTGGCATGTGCCTGTAATCCCAGCTACTTGGGAGGCTGAGGCAGGAGAATCACTGGAATCTGGGAGTCGGAGGTTGCAGTGAGCTGAGATCGCGCCACTGCACTCCAGCCTGGCAACAGAGGGAGACACCATCTCAAAAAAAAAAAAAATTAATGCCCACTATGGGAAGAGCAAGGTTTCCCTTCAATGTTTTTTTCCCCTGGGAAAATGTAGAGGTCACGGAAACTATTTTTGACTGTGGGGCATAATCCTGAACTATTTAGCTGCTTCATGCTGACTTCCTATGCATGATCCCAGATTATGTCAACATTGGAATACCCCACTGCTGAAAGGTCTCCATCTTTTAGGTTAGAGAGATTTGCAAATACCCATGTCACATTTAGATATCTGATGCTTCCATTTATATTTATAAACAAAGTGGATATAGAAGTTACTTGAAAGTGTAAAATGTTAGGCAGTTATGGCATAGTATCACTTTTTTATTGCTATATTTGAGTTATTTAATTTTGGAAATTGCCCTGCCTAATTTACATCTTGCTTTTTTTTTTTTTTTTTTTTTGAGACAGGGTCTCGCTCTGTTGCCCAGGCTGGAGTGCAGTGGCGTGGTCTTGGCTCACTGCAGCCTCCGCCTCCAGGGTTCAAGCACTTCTCCTGCCTCAGCCTCCTGAGTACCTGGGATTACAGGCAAGCGCCACCATGCCCGGCTTATTTTTGTATTTTTAGTAGAGACGGTGTTTCACCATGTTGGCCAGGCTGGTCTTGAATTCCTGGCCTCAGGTGATTCACCCACCTCAGCCTCCCAAAGTGCTGAGATAATAGGAGTGAGCCATAGTGACTGGCCCTCATTTTGCATCTATTTTAATGCTTCAATTGCACTCCTCCAGAAAAGCTTTAAAAGATTCCTTTTATTAACAGTATTTAATGTTCCTCACTAGGGAACTCCAGTTGGGGCACACAGCCTTGGAGACTCTTTATCATTCCAAGACTGCAGTAGAATTATGATTAAAAGAAGAAGCAACTCTGGTTAATTTTTTTTTTTTCCCGAGATAGGGTCTTGCTGTGTCGTCCAGGCTGGAGTGCAGTGGCGCAATCTCGGCTCACCGCAACCTCCGCCTCCCAGGTTCAAGCGGTTCTCCTGCCTCAGCCTCCCGAGTAGTTGGGACTACAGACATGTGCCACCACACCTGGCTAATTTTTGTATTGAATTAATTATTGTAATTTCGTATTTTTAGTAGAGACAGAGTTAGTAGAGACCACCATGTTAGTCAGGCTGGTCTCGAATTCCTGATCTCATGATCCGCCCACCTTGGCCTCCCAAAGTGCTAGGATTACAGGCGTGAGCCACTGCACTGGCCAACACTGGTTCATTTTTAAGTTGATGCGGGATCTTTTCTATCCTGGTTGCATTAAGATACTATTATCTCTAACTTGGAAATTTTTTTCCTAAATGCACTCACTTTGTATATCGTGGTTGGCACAGTACAGGAAAAGACTGGCAAATAAAAACTGTCAGGTTCAAACATGGAGTGGTGAAGGTTTGTACTTACGTGTAAGAGAAAATTTTGGCAAAAAAGAAAGAATGGGTTTGTTGACTATAATGTCATCATTTTATGATACTTGAAAACTAAGATTTCAAGCCTAAGTGACTGGAAAGAATGGAATTCCTTGGTGAAAGCAGTTGACAGAAGATGGGGGAACCCATTGGAGAAGATGATTTCAGCTTTGGATATGTCAAGTTGGTGCTAGATATTCAAGCGGAATTATTCAGTTAACTCTCAGATATACAGGATGGAAACAGATGAGAGGCCAGAACTACGGATATAAATTTCAGTTGTAAAATTTGTTATTTTTATTAACAAATAAAGGAGAACAGGGGAGGGAGGCAGTTAAAGAACCAGAAAGAAGGCCGCTTGTGGATATTCTTCATTTGTTTGTTCAGCAGTGGCATAACCTCTTAAGTGTACAAATATATGTAATGTTATGTGGTATGTGTGTGTGGAAAGATTGTCTGCATTTTTCTTATACATTAAGAAATACCCCACCAGCAGCAAAAGGACCAAGATTTTTAAAATAATAAGTCCTTAATTAATAATGCTTATTGATACACATAAAACTGGAAAGAGCTAACATTTATTATTTTTAAAATAGTCAACAAATTCCATTTTCCTGATCAAATTTAGATTTAGTGGGACACGGTGGCTCATGCCTATAATCCCAGCACTTTGGGAGGCCAAGGCAGGCAGATCACTTGAGCACAGGAGTTCGAGACCATCCTGGCCAACATGGTGAAACCCCATCTCTACTAAAAATACAAAAATTAGCTGGGCATGGTGGCACATGCCTGTAGTCCCAGCTACTCAGGAGGCCGAGGCAGGAGAATTGCTTGAACCCAGAAGGTGGAGGTTGCAGTGAGCCAAGATTGCAGCACTACACTGCAGCCTGGGCAACAGAGTGAGACTCCCGTCTCAAAAAAAAAAAAAAAAAACAAGGAAAACAAAAAAAAAAAAGTTAAAGTTTTGACCAGGAAAATTTGGATTTGGTAAAATAAGACTACAAAAGAAATCTCAGAATGACAGAAACTATAATAGATAACATATGATAATGAGAAAATTTGATTGTATCAACTCCCTGTTGGTAAGTAAGTGCACATAGGAAAGAACAATGTTGGCCAGGCATGGTGGCTCATGCCTGTAATCTCAGTGCTTTGGAAGGCCTAGGTGTGAGGATTGCTGGAGCCCAGGAGTTCGAGGCTAGCCTGAGCAACGTAGACACCATCTCTACAAAAACATTTTAAAAAGTTAGCTGGGTCTGGTGGCACACGCCTATAGTCCCAGCTACTTGGGAGGCTGAGGTGGGAGGATCACTTGCACCCAGGAGTTTGAGTCTGCCGTGAGCTACAATTGTGCCACTGCTCTCTAGCCTGGGGAACAGAATGAAACCCTGTCTCTCAAAAAATAATAATCTTTTTAAAAATAAATCAAAATGGAAAAAATGTAATTGTGTAGAAAACTGTTCAAAGAATTAAACTAGGTATAGGAAGATATTTGCCAGGCGTTCTGGCTCACGTTATAATTCTAGCACTTTGGGAGGCACAGGCAGTGAGGAGATCGCTTGAGCGTAGGAGTTCGAGCCCAGCCTGGGCAACATGGTGAAACCCCGTGTATAATAAATACAAAAAATGTTAGCCAGGTATGGTGGCATGTGCCTGTAGTCTTAGCTACTCAGGAGGCTGAGGTGAGAGGATCACTTGAGCCTCCAGGAGGTTTGAGGTGGCAGTTAGCTGTGATTGCACTGCTATACTCCAGCGTGGGCAACAGGAGACCCTGTCTCAAAAAGGGGGCAGAGTTTGGGCAGGGGGAATATATTTAAGTAAGTTCTCTGTGAAAGCCCGTCCAGGTCAGCATATTTCTTATTTATTTTATTTTTTTAAAGTCCTCCCTGCAGTCCAAATATGTTAGCATATTTCTGATTTCAGTGTTTTTATTCGTAAACATGGCGTCAAAGCCCAGGTAGGGGAGTGTGAAAACACTGTCCAGTTTATCTTTTACCTTAAGGAGTGTAATTTCAGAAAAGTAATAAAGTGAAAATCGCTTTCAGGAGTTAAGTGACTAGAACTAAGGAAACTGAAGTCTGTCATTCTGTTTGATAATAAAAGGAAGACAAATTAGATAGTGGCTAGGAGTCGAGGAAGAGCTAGAATAACGGCGTGGTTATAAAAAGAAATAGTAAGTTTCTGTATCTGAGAAGGCAGAGGAAACATGGAAAAGGTGCAGTACTAGATATTTGTACAAGAAAGTTCTATACGGTGAGAATTCATGGTGTAAGTCAGGTGGTTAGCTTTGGAGAAAGGCAGGTGAGGCTCATGGCGAGGAAGAATGCCTCGGCCTGGTCTCTAAGCTGATGTGATGACAGTAAAGGATACTGGGTAGGGCCCTGAAAGCAGCAGTCTAGAGCAGCCGCTGCAGGAAAGATGATGAGACAAATAGTAAAGTGAGCATTTTCAGAGACCCAGCCAAAATTGCACGGGATTGTTTACTCATGGTTCAGGTATTTGGGCTAGGAGGCAAAAGTGGAGGAGTGCAAGTGTAAGGTTGGGAATTAGTAGATTGAGAGAGTGCGTGAGTGTTCATATAAGTGCCACTAAAATAACAGCGTCTGAGGAAACTACAGTGGTAATGAAGAGCCTGTCTCACAACGTTTCTGTCAGAGCGGATGTAAGGCATAGTCTTGCATCTGTGAGGATATTATAGAAAATAAATCAATTTGGATTACTTTATTTCTTACGTATTTTGACCCCTGGTTTCTGCACAGTCCACAGCAGGAGCATCATTATTGGCTAATGCCTCACCTCTGACTCTCATGACATCACCTTTGTCTGTAACAAATCAAAATGTGACTCCTTTTGGGATGCTGGGTGGCCTTGTTCCAGTGACCATGCCCTTCCCGTTTCCCTTGGAGATATTTGGCTTTGGAACGGACACAGCTGGAGTGACAACCACCTCGGGATCTACCTCAGCCGCTTTCCACCATAGCCTAACTCAGAGTAAGTGGGGCTCTTCTATTTGCTTGGGCTGTCTAGCTTGACAGAACAGGAAACCTTATAAATTTATTCTAATTAAGAGTAGTCCAGTTGGAGTTAATGAAGATTATAGTTTTTTCTTAAGAAATGCAGTTTATATGTATATGTAGTAAGTAAAATTATTGGACACTGGGGTTTTATATACAGTTTTTAAGCTATCTATACCACATTTCCATCTTAATGAAATTTTTAAGAGGAAGTCAATTGTGTTGGTTTACGTGCATACACATACATTAAAATAAGTAAATTTTTAAAAACGTGCTCTAGTTTTAGAAGGCCTTCAAAGTCAGGTGCTGTGCCGGCATTACATAAATCAGTTTTCATTTTTGAACTAAAAGGGCTCCAATCTGGATTTAAAGATGACTGACAAGTCTGTTTTCCTCTCAGATTTACTCAAGGGTTTACAGCCAGGAGGAGCCCAGCATGCAGCAGCGCTTTCCCACTCACCTCTGCCTGCACACTCACAGCAAGCATTTCACGGTGAGAATGCCGTCTCCTTCTTCCTCTCGTTCTTATTTGTATAGGCTTGTAGATATGGATTATACTTTTCTGAAAACATTGTGAACTGAATCACAAAGGCTGGAAAATGGAAATTTTCATAGACTGAATCCTCATTCCTCATTAGCAACAAATTCCTTTTAAGAGGAAGGAAATAGGTAAACGAGATCTTCTGTAACCTAAAAGCCTTTTTGAAGGTGTTTATTATGTGGAAATGATGACTAATGAGAGGATTCATAAGATGGTTAAAACTTATGTACAGTAATGATAGTTGTTTACATTTATTGAAAGCTTACTAAATGCCACATAGTCTTGTGACAGCTTACATGGATAGCTTAGTCCTTAGATGACGGTCTCCATTTTACAGATCACGAAACTGAATCAGAGAGCTAAGCAACTTGCCCAAGATAATACACAACTTGCCCAGATAACAAATGCTTGATCTGAGATTCACACCCAGGAAGTCTGACTCCATGACCTATATTCTTAGTCATTAAATGTCTTGGCATTTTAGCAGAGATGAAATTAATATGATCCTGCCAGGCACAGTGGCTCGCTCTTGTAATCCCAGCACTTTGGGAGGCCAAGGTGGGCAGGTCACTTGAGGTTGGGAGTTTCAAGACCAGCCTAGCCAATATGGTAAAACCCCATCTCTACTAAAAATACAAAAGTTACCTGGGCCTGGTGGCACGTGCCTGTAGTCCCAGCTACTCGGGAGGCTGAGGGAGGAGAATTGCTTGAACACGGGAGGTGGAGGTTGCGGTGAGCCGAGATCACGCCACTGCACTCCAGCCTGGGCAACAGAGTAAGACTGTCTCAGAAAATAAACATTAATATGATCCAAGCTGTATGCATTATGTCCTTGTAGGCAGCCAGATCGCTCTGAAATCTGATATTAGGCAGTCAGATTAGGCAGTGTGCCAAACACACTGGGGTCCAGCTTCTCGTTTTCCCCAGCAGTTGACCTCCATAGACGCTGATATCGTTCTGAAGCCCATTTTCAGGATCTTTTAAGCAGAAATAACTGCTCAGCTGTCCGCTTAACTTTGAAAGTTGACTAGGCCTCACTTTTTTTTTTTTTTTTTTTTGGCCACTGAATCAAAATGATCTTTGAACCAGTTTACGTTAACCACAGTGCAGAGATGGGAACTGAGGAGCAATCTTGAGGCAACAGATTGCCATTAATCCTCCGAAAGAACTAAGTGGTGAGCTGTCCCAGTCTTACCCTTGAGAATGAGCATAAAACCACAGTTATGTAAAATGGGTAACAGAGAGTCGTGGCACAAATGTCAACAATCCCAATCTTCCTGAACTCTGACTAGTTTAAATATCTAAAGAGAATTGCCCTGTGACTAAAGCAGTTCCTCCCTGGGTGTAGACAACTGTTTGGTATAATGAATCCAGCTGAGGGTAGTGTACTCATGAGCAGATTGGCATGAATGTGGCCACCTGCAAGGAATTAAACAAGCAGGATTCTCATGGCTCAAAAAGACCCCAGTGTTCGCTCTTACACGAACTATCTCGTTTATCAATGCAGCACTGCTATTCCAGAGGGAGAAAGGAAATATGACTGTCAGTATTTTCCAAATAACTAAAGTTAAAAAGTTTAAAATTTTTCAACCAGCCTTGGTAGCTCATGCCTGTAATCCCAGCATTTTGGGAAGCCAAGCAGGCAGGTGGCTTGAGTCCAGGAGTTCGAGACCAGCCTGGTCAACATGGTGAAATGCTGTCTCTACAAAAAATTTTCTGGGCATTGTAGTGTGCCCCTGTAGTCCCAGCTACCCGGCAGGCTGAGGTGGGAGGATCACCTGTAGCTGGGAGGTCGAGGCTGCAGTGAGCTCTGATTATGCCACTACACTCCAGTCTGGGTGACAGAGTGAGAATCTGTCTCCAAAAAAAAAAAGAGTTTAAAATTTTTCCCTTAAGACCCATTTTAAAGTATAAGTCACTGAACTTGAGGATCAGACTTGGATTTTTGATTACAGAACTGCCAGTTTGAATAGGTTTAACTTGTTTGAACATCACTTTCTCTTGCTTGTAAACTGGAGACAACAAATGTTTTTAAGGACTTCATATGAGAATTTAATAAAAAATAATTGATTTAAAGCTTCTAGCATGGCACCTGGTGCATAGGAAGGGCTCAATTAATGTTAATTAATTTTATGTAGTGTAAAAGCTCAGTAAAATTTTTCTGTAAAGGGCCAAATAGTAAATATCTTAGGCTTTGCAGTCCATATGGTCTCTGTCGCCGCTACTCAACTGACCATTGTAGTGAAAAACAGCCATAAGAAGTATTTAAACAAATGAGTATGAATGTAAATAAAACTTTACATACAAAAGCAAGCAGGGAACCAGATTTGGCCTATGGGCTGTAGTTTGCCAAACCCTGGTCAAATTTGTTCCTTTTCACCTGTGTATTTCTGCCATTCATGCCTCTTCCCTCAGAATAAAAGGTTTCCTTTCCCTGTCCTTTGCTGTCAGACCTGGGTTGTCTTTGAGGCCTCATTTTTCTTGCTAAGGCCATGACCTGTTGGAGACTTTCTCCATATTCTGTTGGCTCTCCAGGTCATGGGGCCCTACCCTTGCCCTGGTATCCCCCTTTCCTCTCCTCCTGGCCAGTTTTTGTAGGTAATTTAGTTGAGGATTAAATGCAGTAATCAACAGTTTTTCTGCAAGCATTTAAACAGCAGTGTGTAAAAATAGAAATTATTTTGAGCTGGTCTAGTGGCACACACCAGTAGTCCCACTACTTAGAAGGCTAAGGCAAGAGGGTCGCTTGAGCCCAGGAATTTGAGGCTGTGGTGCGCTATGATCGTATCTGTGCATAGCCACTGCACTCCAGCCTGGAAAACATAGCAAGACTCTCTCTTTAAAAAAGAAACAGCCGGGCGTGGTGGCTCACGCCTGTAATCCCAGCACTTTGGGAGGCCGAGGTGGGCGGATCATGAGGTCAGGAGTTTGAAACCAGCCTGACTAACATGGTGAAACCCCGTCTCTACTAAAAGTACAAAAATTAGCCGGGCATGGTGGTGCGCACCTGTAATCCCAGCTACTCGGGAGGCTGAGATAGGAGAATTGCTTGAACCTGGGTGGCAGAGGTTGCAGTGAGCCGAGATCGCGCCATTGTACTCCAGCCTGAGCAACAGACTAAGACGCCGTCTCAAAAAAAAGAAAGAGCATTGTCCCATTAGCAGACTTTCCTGTCACTTAAAGCTAGGTTAGAATGAGCACACAGACTCAGCTGAATGTTTTTCACTACAGATTAAAAGTTTGCTACATTTGTTTACACAATCAGGAATTATGAAATGCTGAAATTTTATTTCACTTACAAAAAAAAAAGAAGTTGACCTGTCTTCTAAAGGAATTGAAAGATGTAGTGGGTCCCTCTGAGGTAGGAATTGTGTCTTCTGGTTCCTTTATAACCCTCTTACAGCATTTGACACAATTGGCTGGGACGTAAATAATAAAAACTTATTGAAATGGTATTTATAGAACACTGAAAACCACAGTCATTTGAAAGAAGAGGATCATTTTTCTTGAGTTTTTATCTCCATGATGTTTTATCAACCTCTATAATGCTATATGGCATGCAAGATATTAAAAGTTATATCTTTTCAGAGATGTCATCCACAAAAGATAAAAGTTAATTGTTCTTTTTGCTTTGTTTTTCTTACCTGGTTTTTTTAACATATGGACCCATACCAATTTAATATCTCTTTTTCTCAGATGGAGGCCAAAGTAAAGGGGACACTAAATTACCACGGAAATCTCAGTGACTGCCCAGCAAGCAAAGGAGACGAAATGTTTAGTTGACTGATGGAATCTACCTGATGGGAAAGTACTTATGTGGTCATAGGGCTGCTGTTTCTGTCGATGTTTACATTCTCTCGTCCCAAGCACTGTGGTGAGGAGGAAAAAGAAAAGAAAACATTACTTGAGCAAAGCCAGGTGCAGGAGGAAGAAATGCTTTTGTGCAAAGTTAGTGACCTTTGGTCTCTTCTAAAGAATGACAAAGTTACCGTATTAATAGACTTGAAAGAGACTCAGTTGTCAAACCCACAGAAATACAAATTTGATTTTTCCCGGGGGAGGAAGAAGGAAGTCAAGAGAATTTGGGTAAACTCCATCCATCCTGGGGGTTAGATCTGAACACTTAATAGACATAATTGCTAATAAAAGGCATTAAAAACTGGAATTAGGCCAGTTTGTCAGGAATAATGATCATGTCTATTTGAGTGGACTGTGTAGCAAATTTGCCACCAAAAATAATAGTGATTCTATCTCCGATATACAGTAGCTGAAGAAATACCATACCCTCTAAAATCCTGAACAAACTTGAATCTTCTCCAGTGTGTAGCAACTCCCCTAAATCAGTGGACTAAAGATCCTTCAGGAAAGTTATTTTAGCACAGTGATATATATTATTAAATCATCTAGATTTTTAAAAATCAGGAAGTTGAGCCTGTTGCTCTTAAGAGATGAAACCTAGATGTCCCCTTTTTGTAAAAGGGTCAATTTCATCTTCCATTCAGAAGCAGGTACTTAACTCTTTTCTTCAGGTGATTTGTGCATCTAGTATTGACTGGTTAATTCTTATTTCCATTCTTGATGTTAAAATGTGACTGTGTTCACATTTTTCTCTTGAGAAATGGGGATCTTTACAGGGTTATTGCTTTGCTGCTATTAGCCCTTGCAGCAACATAAACTCTTAAGTTTCCCCAATTCATCTAACTTCACAACTTCTCCTTCTGTTCTTTTAGCTAGTGGTCCTTCAGGTGATTATTAGCTATTGGTATAAACAGGTAGAAGTGTACACTATGTTTCTTCATTGGTCATTCAAATGGCATGAATATAGTTTTCGAATTTTTAAGATGGTATTTTAAAGGGAGGAATCACATTAGGATCACAATCACAGTGTATTTTTACTCCTTGTATCCAGTGTAGTGAAATTGTTTGGAGCATTTGAGATCCTAAAGCTTTACTAATATTTACTCAGTGTATTGATATGTGAGTAAATCTGCAGAAAATAAGACTCCTTAGTTATTATAGCTTCCTTATGCAAATAGCATATTCAACAAAGGATGTTAAGGGAAAAATTTATGGTTCTCCTTGGATGCATTTGATTTGATTTTTTTTTTTTTTTTGGCTGTATTATTCTAGTTTTTTAAGCTCTGTATTTTCAAACTATATCAGAGAATGGTGTAAACTCTAAATGGTATAAGCTTGATCCATTTATAATGACACACTAACCTAAAAAAATCAATAGACTGGTAGTGGCAACATTTCTTGCATATGTGTTTATTACACATTACCCTATACCATTAGATTACTCAATTAAGAGTATTAACGAGGCCCTTTTTCTTTTATACGCAAAAGTCCCAGATATCCTACAGGACTGTGAATAAATAACCACAGATCTGTTTAGATCTGTATGCCTATATTTTGACTTCAAAGTCACATTGGCTTGCTTCTTAGCAAAAAAGTTAATAAATAACTGAAAACTTTAGTTCCAAGAACTTGTTACAGTAAAGGGAAAGGATTATTTCAAAGGAATCACTAATATAATTTCTTGACTCTAAGAATTTAGTTTATCAATAAAACAAATATGGATATAGTATGAACCCCAGTAGATATTTTGGAAGGATACTGGAAGGATGTCGCAGAGAGGTTTGACTTGAATTCAGTATGTCTGATGAAGATTTGCTTGGTTTCAGTTAGGGAAGCTTGCCCAATTTTTTTACTTTTTCAGATGTAGTGGACCTCTTGCTTTTATGAAAATTGAATAAAAAGGTCTTTGCTTAATACTAGGGGAAGTGATGAGATTTTCCTTTGGGAAGGTAACTTGTTTTACTTCTCATACCACAAGAGAAGTCAAAGTACATATTAATCTCTCTTCCGGAATACTTGTATGTATGTGTGTATGTATATATATATACACATACACACATATATTCATATAAATGACTAGTTTGAGTCAAAAAATCATTTGAATTTCTTAAAACCATCAATTCTGAATCATGCCATGTGAAGATCCCTGGTGACTCTCATCATTAGAAAAGAACAGGATAATCAGTTCTTTTCCCTGTAACGTTTTATACTAACCAGTAAAAATATCTGAAGGCCCTTGGCTCCAAGAATATAATATGGAGATTCTTCTGTGTTCTCTTTAGTCTTGATTCCTTGAGGACTGCTGTCAGATCCCTACTTTAAACCCCCATCTGCACTGACAACTTACATTCATTTCAGTCAGGACCCCTCTTTTATGTTGTATGAATCAGTCAAACATCCTTGTATTTCTGTATAGATAAAGTATGATCAGAGAGTTTCTACATGTAAATACTAATCTATTTCTTTTCTAGATCATAACATTGAAAAAGGTGCCCATACTTTATGGTCACCTGTCTTTACCGTTTTTATTACTAAAAACAAACATATAAATTGGTTATTTTTTAGCACAGAGACTTGTGACTCATACTGTATTTTTGCACTTAAAAATCAAATTATGTTATTTTTTAAAATGGTGAGTCATTGGAAAGGATATCTATAGAGCAACGTGTATTTCTGAAGAGCATTAGCAACATCCAAATGCAAAAATAATCAGCACACATGATTATATCCCACTCCTCGGGATTCTTGATTCAGGAAGATTAAGCTGTTTGTTTTCAACTGTTTTATATTTTAAATTGCCTTCACTGATATATAAGCTGTTACTGTACATACAAGTTAATCCTCAGTATTCACAAGCAATAACAGTCAGCAGAGTTGTCCTTGGAGATAGCTGTGCTGAGCCTCAGTTGGAGACTGGGAGCAAAGTGTCAAGCTCATTCAGAGCATCCAGAATAAATGCAAGCAATAATTTCCACTATAAGTCAATTATAATTCTTGTATGCTTTTGAGGTCGGAGGGTAAATGAAATCATGATTTCAAAACAGCCTGAAGGAAAAGGTTTTGGGAAAGGAAATGAGGCTAATTCGTAGTCATAAAATTCTAATACTTTGCGGGAATTGGAAGATGGTGATAGTGCATTCTTTCGTGCCCACCACCCCTCTGATGGATGTTGTTAGCCCAAATTACATTGTTCATATCATGGACATTGAATAGGGTTTATTGAATCACGAAGGTAAGGGGAAGAACCGGGCACATATGTGTTGGAATACTGTGGGTTTGACACCTGGTTGAAAACAACTTATTGGACATGATTTTTAACCCAGGATATTTTTTTCCCAAAGCAGATCTAAATTGTTTACTACCCAGGGTTGGAAAGGGCAGGCACCTCTAATCTAGTCTTTCTCCTCTGGTTGCCCTCTCCCACACCCCTTTCCACCTATACTTGGTTCAAGATATTTTCTGAAACAAAAATTCTACTGTTATTCAAACTGCCATTGGTTATGAGAACTCTGTGTCCTTTGGGATCATCTCTTAGAACTCCAGTGATCTATCATATTTGCTGCTACATTTGTAAAATGAACTTTGCCTGTATTGGTTGACTTTAATCTAATTTACAGTTCTTTATTTCTAGGATGTTCTGTCCTCTAATTTGACTCATGTATAGAATTAGGATACTTTATTTTAGGAGTGTACCATAAAAGCACACTGGTCCCTATGTTGTTTTTATTATTTAGGTTTGGAATTTGTTTGCTTTTTTGTTTTTTGTTTTGTTTTTTTAAAGTTGGAAATAGAAGAATGAGAAAAATCTATAATCAGGCCAAACTTGAGAACTGTCCTGTGCTTCAGCACTGTAATTCTGCTGACCTAATGTTCTCAAAAGGGCACTTTTACTTTCTGTTGTGCATGTATGATTGTTGTTTTTTGCTTTTGGGGGGGCTTTTGTGTTTGTAATAATGAAGCAGAAGAAAAGTGCAGTAGTAGATAAATGACTGATCACAAACATGTTATGCAATTTTATTTTATAAAATTTTAAGGGGAAAAGTTTAACTCTTTGTAAATCATTTCTTAGCTCTGGTAAAATGCTTATATTACTCCTCTAAAACATGCTCAATTCAGGCCTTTGTCTTTGTTAAGTGCCTTTTTTCTTTCTTTTTTCCCCTCTTTTGAAACTGTTGTCAGATTATCTTAAAGTACAGACTGATAAGTCAGGGGATTGAGGAGGAAGAATCTCACACTTGCCAACGTCATGTCATGCTGTAACCCTCTTCCTTTTCTTTCTATGTATATGGATATATATGTAAGATACGTACATTACATATATATAAAACTAGGAGCTGCTGTACCATTGCATCCTTTCCAAATACTCCCCTTTCAATGTTTGCAGAACTTCTGCCTTGTTTATTCCATTGCTTTTAGTTGATTAAAGTGGGTGGATTAGAAAAGTATCTTTTCGGCCTGGCGCGGTGGCTCACACCTGTAATCCCGGCTCTTTAGGGGGCCGAGGCGGGCAGATCACGATGTCAGGAGATCGAGACCATCCTGGCTAATACGGTGAAACCCCGTCTTTACTAAAAATACAAAAAATTAGCCGGGCGTGGTGGCAGGCGCCTGTAGTCCCAGCTACTCGGGAGGCTGAGGCAGGAGAATGACGTGAACCGCAGAAGTTGCAGTGAACTGAGATCATGCCACTGCACTCCAGCCTGGGTGAAAACAATAATAAGATACATAATAAAATAACACAATGAAAAGAGAAGTATCTTTTCACAAGAGGCCATCTTTGCCCTTTGAATATCTGCTTGTAGAAGTTGACAGTAACAACGCACACACACGTCAGTTACTATAAGTAAAATAAACTTAGTGAATCATTGACTATTCTTGGATGTAACCCACTTTTCTTTGCTCTTTAATCTTGGCATAAGTAATACAGGAGAAAGCATTGGAATAACAAGAGTACCTTACAAGTCACATTGGTAAGGTGCGCTAGATTAAACATGTGAGAAGGCTAGTGTTAGAACCATGATATGGTATCTAAATAAGTTTAGAAGGAAGTTAGCAACTTGCAATGTTAAAAATGTATCATATTTTCTTCTGGAAAATGATTTTTGAAGAAATCATGTAGCTGCATATCTATCTGTTAAAAGGTTAATAAACTCAGAAGTAGAAAGACTTCAGATGCTGAGGAAAACATTCATATAATCTATAGCATTCTTGAGAGATTTTCCATTTGCTTTTTATTTGCTAGATAATTACATTTGGCTTAATCTGATTTTATTGTTATTTAGATTTCTCCCTTGAGCAAAATAACATAATTTTCAGTATCTGAGATTCATTGATTTCTTGTTGAAAACAAATAGACATGTTAAGGGAGACCAAGTTGAACCATCCCTCAAACCCAGTACTAATATACCTAGTAAGTGCCCCCTTTTCAATACATTCTAATTGGAAAGAAGAGACTAGTGGCTTAAAAGGAAAAAGCAGAAGCTCCTGGTAGTGTTACCTGATAGCAAAACTTGCCAGGCAGTTGGAATTCACAAGTGTTATTCTTGAATGACTAGGGGGAATATCGTTTAACCTTCGTGCCTCAGATTACCCATTAGACAATTGGGTATAATCATATTCACCTACCTCCCAGGGATATCAGAGACTTTACTATTTCAAAAATATTTTGAGTTTTTGTAAAATGTCCTATATAATTAAAAATAGTATTATCATCTTCCTGCAGAGGCTAGAAAATGTTTTCCTTATAATAAGTATAAAAAGCACCCTATGATTTTTAAATTTAAAAATCACTGGAATTTTAATTTAGATACATATTTGTTATTTAAACATTATCTTTGAAGTGGGATAAAATGTTTAGTTTCAGGTTAACAAGGGAGAGAGATAACACTAAGTTTAAGTAGTTTTTGTTTTGTTTTGTTTTGTTTTTAGCCTTTTACGGTGTTATTGTGATTTTTGTCAAGGTTATGGAGCTAAAGTTAGATAAAGTTATGATGCTTGGTTGTTGGAGTTGATAAATGATCCTGGAAGATTTAACTGCCTCACTTTCCCATCTTCTCAGTCTAATTTTCTTTTATTGCTTGTTTGGGGACGGAGAGCTAAGCTTTTTAACTTTCTAAGAATGAGTAGGATGTCTCCTCATTCTTGCAAATCAGAGATTGTGTACTAATTCCATTAACTGTAGGTGTATCCAGCTCTGCACTGAAGAGGTGAACACTACACACAGCCAGCTGGGTACTCTTGTAGCCATTGCATCTTTGTAATTCATGCTTCTTCAACCCGTGAAAGAGGTGGAGCCATCAGCTGCTCAGGTTGTAAGAAAATGGGAGACGGAAGGCAGGATTCACTTTCTAACTGGGTCGGGGTGGGGAAGGTCAGGGTAGAAGGAAACATGTTTCTCCCAGCTCCCAGGAAGAGACGAAGATCATTTTATCCCACCTTCCATCCCTGCATATTAAGTAGTACTACTACATAGAATTTTCCCATTATCATTGAAAATAGTAACAACAGGAAAAAAAATGGATGCTGCAGTTTTAGTTGGGGTAAATGCTGAGCAATGATTGTTGGAGTGTATGTGTAAATTTAAATTGTAGCACATATTCAGGGTCAGGAAAGGAGAATGTGGGGGATGAGGAACCAATTTTATCAGGTTCAAGTGAGTCAGTAGAAAGCACCAGGTCCAAGCAGGCAAAGCATCCGGTTAATTTCCAGAATTGGGAAAGATCCATTGACTCTCTAATGATAGGGGGTGTGTGTGTGTGTGTGTGTGTGTGTGTGTGTCTTTTTGGGTTTTTGTTGCTTTTTCCAGTGTGTGTGTGTGTGTGAGACTTTTTGGGTTTTTGTTGCTTTTTCCAGATAAGGCCTTAGTTAGTAGCCTCTAAATATCAACTATGCAGACAAACATACTTCTTTTTTTTTTCACATTTCCCTTCCCATTCTCAGATAACAAATGTTAAGACCCAAAGAAATAAGGCATAAGGGTTTTTGTTGAATGTGTGTTTGTTCCTCTAGGGAAAATTAACAGAAGCATAAAATGGAGATACTTTGTGTGTTCATCTATCCTAAAATGTGAACTCTGCATTCAAAGACTATCTACAGATCCTTTCACTGGTGCAAAGCTGTAGTTAGTATCATGGAATGTCTTTGGGTTGTTAATGATAAAATCATCCCAGTGTTCAATTCTGAGAGTTTTAGATTATATGACGCAATGTTCAGGTTTATAGAGCTGAATGGGTGGTCAAACTCTAATTAAAAATAGCTTTGAATATTAATGTCGAATTCTTCTTTCTTGGTTTCCTTTAGTCTTCATTCTTTATTCAGAGCTCTTAATCATATTGCTACTCTAGAATATGAGTTGTGTATTAGGAGTCTGGGGAGGAAAGGTTAAATTGTCTTTTACATCCTCTTCTCACTCACTCTGGCAACCTATCCTGTGTGCCCATAGAACTGAAAAGTAAAGCTCTGTGCAGGCCTGCTTTAGAAGACTGTTTACATCCCAGCAGAGGACTCGGGCAGGGACTCTCTTAGGATTTTAATCAGACTGCCTTTGAATAATGTGATACAAAATTTTATTTTTCTCATAGACTCTCAAAGTACCACTTGCTTGAAAGTAGCTACTTGTGATCTTTAATTTCCTCATATTGTAATAGTTCTACTTCTCAGTCTTTCCTGTGTATCTCCATTTCATAGTGGGTTAGTACTTAAACTTCCGACACTTTTCCAAACTGTTAAGTCAGGAATGCTTTTCAGAATCGCAGTAGTATTTATTAGGGTCTCTGTATCAGGACTTACAGTCATCGGTGGTCATCACTGGGACTAGAGGGGTTTTTTTTTTCGTCTTCTCCTTTGTATTAAAAAATAGATTTTGCTACTGTATAATGCGGCATTTCATGACTTCCTCTTGTTACTTTTTCAAGGTTATTCTAAAGAGATGGAGATCTTTATTAGGAGCTATTTCTCATAACAGTCTGCCTTGCTTATTTTCATACTCCCCCTGAAATAAGCCTACTTTTGCAAACAGGCCATATGAATCAAATTTTATGTTTGTTCCTCACAAAATTTTCTATATATTATTTGTTCCCACTTTGCTAATAATAATATAATGATTTTATTGTAAATCTGTGTTTTAAATATTTTATAATAGAACACTAATGGAAACCTAATAAATACAAGCAAGATGACTATTACCCAAGATAACATGGAAATACTTCTGTTTTTGAAGTTAACAACACCATCTGCCCTCAAAGCACATTTAGGTGTATCAACCAAGACCAGCCAGTTGACATGTTTTTCTGTGTGACAGCCTGCCCATCAATTGTCAGCTCTTAGCTATCTTGTGTTTGCTGTGCTTGCAGCCATAAGCTTTCCTCCTTTTTTGCTTATCCCTGCTGTTTGTAGGGTTAGTGTGCCCTCTGTCAGCAAATTGGGTTTTCTTTACTGTACCTGCAAAATTACCAAGGGTTACCCCAATAGTGTCTAAAGGAATTAAAAAGAACTTACTCTCAGTTGACAGAAGTATTACTGTTTTACATAGTTAATTGGAAAGTTGGCCAACTTTGGTCAGCTATTTTTGAGTCTTGGCTATGCCTTTGTAATTAATTACATATACCTTCTGAGACCTTCAGATAATCAGTGGGCCCTTCCCCATTAGAGGTAGGTTCCCAACCTACAAATAATTTCCTGTGATCCATGGCAAGCCTCCAGAGAAAAGATTCAAGCTTTGCACTGCCCTTTTGTTGGTTGTCACTGAAAACTTACTTTATTTTAGAAAGTATCAAAAATACCAAATTGGTCTTTCAGAGAGTATGGAAATCTGGGGCTTGCCCTTACATTTCATTTGTTAAACACCCTCAAACTTAAGAAAATAAATCTCCAGCTGGTGACAGTTTTGTGCCCCCCATAATATATTAATCCAAATCTACCAAGGTAACTAAGTGATGGGTGTTTTCTCTCTTTTCTTACAAGCAAGAAAGTGTATTTGCAGTTGTAAAAACGATTACAGAACTCCAGGCCTATTTGCTGTAACTGATTGGAAATAATGATTCTGATTTTTAGTCTGGGTGAGCACATACTTCTAACCCTTATGGTATGAATTTTGATAAGGGAAAGACTTGTTTGGTAGCCC